CCGAACATGAATAGACCTACATTTAGATGACCTTAGCTCGTGATAGTCTCCCTGCATTGCTGCATATATGATGAGAAAAATTAATAAAAAAAAAATATGAGTCTTTAATTGGTTCATCTTATACTCTGTTCGAAACTTATTTGACTCGAGTAATTAAGCTCAAGGGGTTTCTCATAACCTGGTGCCTATGATCATCTGACTTGGGTTAACCGACCTAAAGCTCGTTACAGGGGTCAATTTAGTCGTTTAATGGACAGGGTCTGCACATAAGATGCTATTTACGAGAAAATCAATAAAATAATATATGCTAACATTTAGGGGGAGAAAAGAAAATTTATCACATATTTGAACTCATCTTTAGGTCCTTAAATTAATTCGGGTTTGACTTTCATTTGTAGGGATCATACTTATTTAACAAATGATGTTTTGCATGTCATTTCTCACAAATTTAAGGTTTGAAACTGTATTCACGAGAAAATAGTTACACATTACACACATGAGTCATTTATACACTTTATTCCATCTTGAACGTAACTGCGTATGTAAGAAAGTCTTTTTGAAGATCTTTTTTTTTTTTTTTTTTTTATCATTTTTAAAAGTTGGAGTGTTAATAATGTCAATAGAATTTTTTTTGCTATTTTTCTCATTTTTGAATTTGGAGTTCTATTTTTGACATTTGGCATTTCGCTAGCTTATCGCTAGAACTCGCTCGAGCGACAACAGTAGAAGCAGCCTCGCTCACTTATCGCTTGAGCTGTTCGTTATTTTGAACTTTAACGTTATTTTCAAGGGTTTTCTCTTATTTTCACCACATTTTTACTTGATTTCTCTCCAAATTTTATAACCCACTCAAATATCTTGCATACCCATCATTTTAATAACTTAGTTTTACTTCATTGCGGTGTTATTCCATTAAATCAACAAGATTCCAAGGTAAAATTCGAAAAACTTGATTTTTACTCATTCTTGCTTGAGTTTTGGGTAGTGATATCTATGGTTTTATCATTGGCTATGGTTATCATCGATTGTTGCATGATTTTTCAACAAAAATCAAACTTCTGGACCGTGTAGTGCGTGATTTTCATTTTTTTTTTGTGTGTTCTACACTTTTAATTCATTTATTGATCATTGGGTGATGTTGATGTGTGCATTGGCATGATTGGTTGTGGTTTGGTGTGTGGTCTTCTTTGTGGTAGTTTGAAGTTGGAGATCGTGAATGGTTCTTATGATTAGTTGTATTCGTTTGGAGTGTTGGTTTGGTAGCTTGGTGCGTGATGTGTTTAGGTTTTGCATTGAGGTTGGTCAATTGTTTGTTTGAGTTTGGGATGTTGGAATGGACCATTGTTAATGTCGGGTTATTCTTTAGGAGTTTGCATTATGTTGGCTGTGCTTGGGTGTGATTAGATAGGGATCACATGGTGACGTCATGACGTCACGTCCTTACGTCTAGATATTGCGGCACGTGTCATGTCCTCATGTCACTTATGTCTCAGTATCATTGCATGTCGTCATGCATTCACTATTGTGCACGTTGTATGTCATTTCCTTTACCTCGTTTTGTGTGCATTCATGCATGCCATGCATATGATGACTTCTTCTATCATTTGTCAAGGATTTAATGATTGTGTGGTTCAATTCTTTTAGATGCCACCCAAGAGAGCCTGCACTTCTGCTTCCACTCCTAGTACTTTGACTTCTTACAGTTGAACTAGGTTCATTTCTGCTGTTGCCCAAGATGTATTTGGGTCACACTTTTCCCTTCGCCCCGTACTCTTTGAGCGCGAGGTCATTTTGTCTGACCTGTCCTCGACGTCGCTGCCATTTTCACTTCCCAGGGCTGGGAGCCTCTTCTTGTTGATTTATCACCCCTGCAGAGTCTTCTTGTTCAAGAGTTCTACGCTAACATCCATGATGCTAGCGGCTCTTCTCTTCAGGTTTTTCTTTGGGGTCTGGTAGTTAAGATTATTCTGGACGTCATTTCGAGTCTTATTCATATTCCGAGAGTCGTCCACCCCCTCTTTCCCTATTTGAATCCTGATACTCTTCCATAGGACACGCTAGTCAATTCCACGGTGCTTAACACACCAGTGGAGGGTAGTCTACGGGCGATGCGCACTGGATCTTTACCCATTGACCGACAGATTTTGTTGCGCATTGTGTGCACAAATCTGTGGTCGGTTTCTCATACTTCTTCATTACCTATGGAGAAGACTCGATTTCTGTATGCCCTACTGCATGGCGATTCTATTGATCTGCCTTCTTTTATATGTCAGCAGATCTTGAGGGCATTCAGGACCTCGAGGACTAGGGTTGGGCTGCATTATGCTTGTCTCATCTATAGGTTAGTCAATACCCTAGGAGCTAGTTTTCCTGAGGGGGTTCCGCGGTGGGTTTCTCGGCCGATTGGCCAAACCACTATCGCCCAGAGTAGGACACATGCCTCTTCTGAGCTCGCACAGCCTTAGGCTGATCCGACCATGCCGGCTGATCCTATCGATGACCCGATCTCTTTGAATCCTTCGGAGTTCCCTTCCTTTTCTACTACTCCTGACTCCACTGATATTCACTATCCTCCTTTTGCGTCGTACCTCATCCTCCTTCTGCGTTAATACCTCCTCCTTTCGATTCTGCTCCCATCGACCCTTCAGTCGTTCTTTTGGGACAGATGACCATGCTTCTCGAGCAGCAGGCTCGTATGATGGCAGAGATTATGCAGCTTCGTGCCACCGTTGATCGCCACACCACCGAGTTCTCTACACTGTGAGGTACTGTTGGCTACATCCATCATGGACTACGATGGATTCGTCGCCATTGGGATGATACTTTTGAGGAGATGACAGACTCTGATGATGCCGATGACGTTGCTGGTGCTTCATAGAGATATGCTTACCCCTTGTCATTGTGTGACAAAAATGGGAAGTAGATGTGTTGTAGTTATAGCAGTATGTTGATAGGGGGAGGGTAGATAGCAGTTTTTGTTCTTGGTGCTTACATGATGTATCTACTATCTGGATGTAATTCTTTTTGATATTTTTACAGTGTCAATGTTTCGTTTTGATATGTTGGGCTGCATTGATACTGTGTCTTAGTTTANCTTTTATTTTATTACTGTCTTAACACAGATTAGTGTTTTGTCACAGAATGCCAAAGGGGGAGTTTGTTAGGTTTTAGTTGATTTTGTAATTGACAAATTCTGTGAACAAAATTACTGAAATTGACATATTGTAGAAGTTCAAGGAGTAATGTGCAAATATATTGAAAATATGGTCTTTAGGTCTAAGGTTCGTGAATGGCAAAAAGACGAAAACGACGCGGATTTTAGCTGGACTGTTGCCAAGGGTTGGCTCAAACTACAAAAGCAGAAACACTGTCGCTAGATCGTCGCCCTTCCTTCGCTCTGTCGCTCGACTGTCGTTGGCTCCTCGCTCGAGTGACATCTTTATTCGGGAAATTTTTATTTCGGGTTTTAAAGGCTTTTTCCCTGGCCCATTCACTTTTTGACCTACCTATAAATATCAGAACTCACCTGTACGAAATTTTGGAGGTTGAATATAGAGAGAAAGAGGCTGTTGAGAGAATCCTTTATGTTTGGTTCTTTCAACCTTCATCTGTGAGTGTTTTGGTTAGAAAAACATCAGATTCAATATCCAAATACCAAAAATCAAACTTCCTACATATCTGTCAGAGGTGCTGAAGATCGAGGAAGACGACTGGAGTTTTAGTATGTGAAGAACGAAGTTGTTTTTCGTGATCCACAGGAGATAGGCGATTCAACCAAGCTAGGGGCTACTGCAGGATAGCAGAGTTCCAGGAGAGCGTTGGTTATTGCAGTTGGAATTGGTGCAGGGGAGCACATAATTCAGGAGAGCTGTCAAAATTGCAGTCAGGAGATTAGATAGTTCGTGTTGTCACCTAGTCTGGTAGACTCTAAGTCTTGAATCATTTATAATGAATTGACTGACAAAGCGCCCATAATTTTTCCCAGTTGGATTTCTCCATGATCATATCGTTGTTCATTTACTGCTTTATATTATGAATGAATGATTTGTGGTATTTAAACTTAGGATTAAATTTACTGCGTGATTAACCATCTAGAGATAANCCGTGATCATTCTGATGTTTGATTTACTGTTTTATGTTACGAATGAATGATATGTGGTATTTAGATCTTGTATTAAACTGACTGTATGATTAACCATCGAGAGATAATTAATTGGTGACTTGTTGCTAATTAATTAATAAGATTTTAATTCTGCATATTACACCTATTCACCTCCCTCTAGGTGTTGTTAGGGTCGAACCTGCGTTTTTTCACGAATAAAAAGGAAGAGGTTGAAGACATGTCAAAGGTACCATATGCTAATCGAGGAGGATATTTGATGTATGTCATGGTCTGCACTAGGCCAGATATACCACGTGCAGCTAGTGTGGTGAGCAAAATGGTGATAAAGGGTGGGAAGAAAGCATTACATAGTAATTTGTCTTGTTTGGCAGACTTTTGGTCTGCTTTTTGTATGTGTTTTTTTAAGAAGTCATTTTGGGGAAACTTCCTCTAAATACTCTTCGAATTAGAAGCATTTTAAAAATAATATATTCAAATAAATTCAAAAGCAGCTTCTTGATCTTAAAAACAACTTTTTGTTTTTCAAAAGCTCTACCGAACGAGACTTGGAGTTGATAAATTTGCATTTGTTATTCATGCGAAATTGATCATTAGTGTTTTTGTCGCCAAACACAATTACAACTATATTTATTTGATAAATAGCTTGAATAAAACACATTCCTATTGACGAGAATGTCATGTCATTTAGAAAAATTACAAGTAATGGTATAAACGTACAATACTAGAGAAGGCCAATGAACTTTTAGGCCACATTTGGACTCATGGAATTAAGACTATGGAATCGAATTAAAGAGAAAGAAAATACTTCTCCTAAATTTCAATCCATATACCTCAATTCCAAGTTTCCAAACATGTCACTAATTAGTGCTTGCCAAGATCAACCCCTGGAATCCAAAGCCATTATGGTGTTGAGGTTCTTTGGGTACATGTATGTTCTAGAGCCATTGAAGATCTGTTGTACAATGAGTCTGTTGGCCATTTCTGATGGATGGAATGGATCCCAAAAGACATACTCATCTCTGTTATCACATATGTTGGAGAGCATTGTGCACAGCCCGAATCCATTGTAGGGTCCTTGTCCACAACAGGCCGTCTTTGATTCCGTAAATCCTGTTCAGTTGAGAATATCAAGTCCTTAAATAACTTTGTTAAACTCGAGTTTACAGTTGAGATTTTGACACAGGTCGAGAAAAAGAAGTAGGAAAATTACTTCATCAGAATACTAGCTTCTTCATAGGTCTTGCAGTATTGATTAATCACTTCGCACGAAAGAAGACCAGGGAATAGCGACTTTGGAGACAGAAGGACTTGAACCCTAATGAATTTTAAATTACGAAAGTTTTCTTTTTACTTTAAATTTCATTGTTTCCATATTGGCAGAACTAAAAGAAGAAAACTAAAGAAGAGAACGTACCAAAAGCTTGAGGATTGGTGAAGTAATCCATGTGCATTTCATTGGTATTTACTGCTACGAAAACATCAGAGCCAATCTCTTTGTTGAGTTGATCAAGCATTCGAACCAATTGGGGGTTGAAGAGTGATGCGGCAAATTGCAACTCTTCCGCACATTCTCCCGTCGTGCTGTGCATTGCCAATTCTGCCGGTGTACAACCTATTGGTCCCGTCCCTGTCACTAGAACCCTCCGAGCACCGAGCTCATAGAGTCTCTAAATGGGATAAAAAATAGCTAGAATTAGTATATTAAACAATTGCCATTTTGTGCTTCTGCTGTCTAGGCTTAAGGTGGACTAATCCATAAATGGCACGGAATGACAAAATATTCTCTCCGAAGTATGTTCATGTGAGCTTGTGTAAGTTAAAGGTGTAAATTGCGTTGTGTTGTAGAGACTCAAGGTGGACCAACACGTCAATGGCTTGGTCTCCCCATCTAGCTCTCCATGACCATAACCCGGAATACTTCTTCACTAATTTGCTTTTCAGAAAATCAACTAAAAGTTGTAAACCGTTAATAGAAAAGATGGGTCTAGGGCCAGCTACTCAAAGGTGGTCTGGCTTGACTTGCTTTACACCCGTGTGTGCACTTAATAAATTGACTTAGAGAGAAACTTACCTGTAAAATTTTTTTGTACTCGACAATGAGAAAGGCCACATATGCTTTAAGGGTAAATTGGAGAGACCTTAGAGAAAAGGGTATCAAGTAATAGTTGTTCACGAAATCATTGCCTCCTAATGTAATCAGAACAAGTGATCCATTTATGAGTTTCTCAGTTGGTCCTTCTCCAATAAGCGCTTTAACATTCTTCTGATACTGTTGAAAATAACTCAGCTGATCGTAAATTCGAATCATGTTTACCTGCAGATTAATGCAGCATTATATGAAGGTACTCTTACACTTTTTAAAATGAGAAAAAAAAAAGGAAAGAAAAATAAGTAGGAATAAAATAATTTTTTATTTTATTTTTATTTTTTTTCTAAAGTCGTTCCAATAAATGAATTTCTCTATTTATATGTAATTCATTTTAGCAAAGTAGTTCTTAATTCTTTAATACATTTATGGCATGTTTGATTAGAATATTAGATAGTATTAAAAAATTAAAAAATTGTATATTATACAGTTTAATCCTATTTAGTAGTACGAATATTTTAGTGCAACAAGCAATATTTATTGGTTCTACACTCGATTCATAACATTTCCACGAATTTTCCCCTAATCGAAGCCTGGAAGAATATTCATCAAATTTAAATCACTTACTCTTATTCTACTTATTTTACTGATGATGCCTTACTTTTATTTTCCTTTACTGCAAAGATTATGTACAGAACCACAACATAATGGAAATATCATATTATTTTGCAAGTTGAAATTATTTTTATTTGAGAAAACAAGTAATGAGCAGAGGAAAAAAAAGTGATTATTTTCAACTCACAAATTGGAAACCAGTGTCATTAAGTATGCCAACCCCAGCAGAAGCAAAGTTGGCTCCATTAAGTAGTTTATTCCCTGTCAGATTTGGATGCAAGCATGGCATTATGGGTTCCCATCCCATCTTTTCGCCTAGAATAAATCAAAACTCAGACGTACGTTTGCTTGTATGATTATTTAAATAATAAAAAAGATTTTACATAAAATAAACAGTATAGGAATTTACTGATTAGGTCAGGAATGTTAAGGCCGTTGGAGAAGCGACCGGTCGCCAAGTGCGACGGGTAGTCAATCCCGTATGGTGGCATGTCTGCTCTAGCTGTAGTGACCAAGTAATTGTTATTGCCATTGTCTACCAAAGAATCTCCGAACACAAAAAATGCCTCAGCATTTACATTAGAAGCAGCACATGCCAGTGCTAATACAAAAAAAACAATGAGATTATTAACATTCATAATTCCAGTAAAAGTAGATTCAAGAAATTTTTTTTAGATTTTTAAGAAATAAAAAAATTTTGGAACTCAAGTTTTTGTGCTTCAGATTGAAAGGGATGCCTGTATATAAGCATGATAAAGGGTTGGTGCAATTAATAGTAGATTTAACTAATGACCAAATGCAATTAATTAGTACATAAAGAAACAAAGTATTTCTATTGGAAAAATAAATTTGACAGTTGTTACGCTGAACTTGATTCATTCGATCATTGGTTGAATTATTGCAATTTTAGTCAAGATTTAGTTTTCTTTGCAAGAGTTAATTATTTTCTGAGCCTATAACCGTTATATTTATTGCTTTCTGTTGACTAAAATAAAAGAAAACATTGGTCTATTTAGAATACAGTCACCTTTATTATCAAATCACATTTTGTGAACTAACATTATATCATTTCTCGTGTCAACCACTTTGTATCAACATTGCATAACCCTGCATGAAAACAAAGGTTTGACTTGGCTGATTTGATTCATTTAGAATCATTTCATATTTATTAGAAACAAAATAAGTCAAAGTTCCAAAAAAAAAAAAAAAAAGTGGTTTGACTCATTTAGAGTCATTTTATATTTATTAGATACAAAATAAGTCAAAGCATGTAGGTAGCGAGTCCTAAAAAATATGTGATTATAAAGTATTAAAGAAGTAGATCCTATGAAATATGTAATAAAATAAAGTTTGATTAACTTATAAGTAATTATAGACTTTGACATGTGCACATTGAAATAACGAAGTTCGACCCAACTAGCACCTAGAGAGTGAGGGGGTGAATAGGTGTTTATGCGAAATTTAAATTTATCAATTAATAAATGCAACAAGTTACATTTATTAATTAATCCAGATGAATTCACATGCACAACTATCATATGTTGAATTACCGCAGTTAATAAATTAGTGAAAAGTAAATAACACTTGAAAATTGATGACGGAGAAAGCCTGTAACTAGGTAAAAACTCCGGGCCCAAGCCGTAACAATTCACTATAAACGAATCAACTTACAGTATTGTCAAACTTGACCAACTCTAGTATTTTCTGACCTCTTGACTGTAATTACCAAAGCCCTCCTGGATTGTGTGTTTCGGCACCAACTCCCAGCTTTCTGACTATCTCCTGGATCAATGAGAACTCTTTGTTCTCAAACAACCAGAAACTCTAATCACTTTCCTAGATCTTCAGAATTTTTACAGATATTATGAAAGTATGTGTTTCGATGTTTGGTTTATGTGAGGTTGATGTTTTTCAATGTAATGATAAAATCAATATGAAGGTTGAACTCTAGGAATGATATGCTAAAAGTAATCACTTATTTATCTCAATGTTCAATTCTATTTTTTCGAATGGTGGCGTCAATATATATAGTAAAGAGGTTTTGGGTCATATGGATCGAATAAAAAACTTGAAAAAAATGCGAATTAGGTTTTCTCGAAATACATTGTCACTCAAGCAACAACTCAACTACAGGAGAGCGATGGTGTGTCATTCGAGCGAAGTCCAGACGATAGGCAGGCGGTGCAGCTTCTATTTTTACCGCTCGAGCATCAGCTAGGTGATAGGCTAGCGAAATTGTGGTGACACTTTTCTTCTCGTTCCATGCTCGAACCCTAAGACTTATAACTAACCACTTGACACTTTGACTTTTAAAACCTCTTTTACAACAATAGTTTTGTCAAAAGATTGCTAACAACTTTAAAACCTAACAAACTCCCCTTTGGCATTTTGTGACAAAACATGTATTCCAAGTTAAACAAATTCAATTCTAATCTACCTAAAACCAACTGACTCGATTGAATCTTGCTTTTTCTTTGTCCAACCCGTTTCCTAAAAAAAAAATCAAATACTAAATGTAAAAGCACTTAAAACAGTAACAGGAATAAAAGCATTTGAGATAGTTTATTCATAAATTCAACCACATACCAGTTAAATTAAGATGCAATATCAATGTAAACCAACACACCAAAACCAAACATTGATATTACNAAAAAAAAAAAAAAGTGGTTTGACTCATTTAGAGTCATTTTATATTTATTAGATACAAAATAAGTCAAAGCATGTAGGTAGCGAGTCCTAAAAATAATGTGATTATAAAGTATTAAAAAAGTGGATCCTATGAAATATGTAATAAAATAAAGTTTGATTAACTTATAAGTAATTATAGACTTTGACAAATGTGCACATTGAAATAACAAAGTTCGACCCAACTAGCACCTAGAGAGTGAGGGGGTGAATAGGTGTTTATGCGAAATTTAAATTTATCAATTAATAAATGCAACAAGTCACATTTATTAATTAATCCAGATGAATTCACAAGCACAACTATCATATATTGAATTACCGCAGTTAATAAATTAGTGACAAGTAAATAACACTTGAAAATTGATGACGGAAAAAACCTGTAACTAGGTAAAAACTCCGGGCCCAAGCCGTAACAATCCACTATAAATGAATCAACTTACAGTATTGTCAAACTTGACCAACTCTAGTATTTTCTGACCTCCTGACTGTAATTACCAAAGTCCTCCTGGATTGTGTGTTTCGGCACCAACTCCCAGCCTTCTAAATATCTCCTGGATCAATGAGAACTCTTTGTTCTCAAACAACCAGAAACTCTAATCACCTTTCTAGATGTTCAGATTCTAACAGATATTATGAAAGTATGTGTTTCGATGTTTGGTTTATGTGAGGTTGATGTTTTTCAATGTAATGATAAAATCAATATGAAGGTTGAACTCTAGGAATGATATGCTAAAAGTAATCACTTATTTCTCTCAATGTTCAATTCTATTTTTTCGAATGGTGGCGTCCACACACACACACACATACACACACACACACACACACACATATATATAGTAAAGAGGTTTTGGGTCATATGGATCGAATAAAAAACTTGAAAAAAATGCGAATTAGGTTTTCTCGAAATACACTATCGCTCAAGCAACAACTCAACTACAGGCGAGCGACAGTGTGTCATTCGAGCGAAGTCCAGACGACAGGCAGGCGGAGCAGCTTCTATTTTTATCGCTCGAGTATCAGTTGGGTGATAGGCCAGCGAAATTGCGATGACACTTTTCTTCTCGTTCCATGCTCGAACCGTAAGACTTATAACTAACCACTTGACACTTTGACTTTTAAAACCTCTTTTACAACAATAGTTTTGTCAAAAGATTGCTAACAACTTTAAAACCTAACAAACTTCCCTTTGGCATTTTGTGACAAAACATGTATTACAAGACAAACAGACTCAATCTAATCTACCTAAAGCCAACCGACTCGACTGAATCCTGCTTTTTCTTTGTCCAACCTGTTTCCTAAAAAAAAAAAAAAAACTCAAATACCAAATGTAAAAGCACTTAAAACAGTAACATGAATAAAAGCATTTGAGATAGTTTATTCATAAATTCAACCACATACCAGCTAAATTAA